AAGCAGAGTTAACGTTTCGAGTCCAGTGACCCTTCATTAGAATTTTTTTAACCAACTCATTGACTGGTTCTGCATATGGATGTCAAGGCCTCTCCATTCACTTTTCAAAATTCTGCCATGTATACTGTCTTTCCATATTCAACCTTTGAAAGCCAATCACTTTCTGCTTCTCAACCTTGAATTTCATTGTTCATGTCTCCATCCATTTTACCTTCAAGAACGTGGAGATGAAGTTTGATCAAGGTGTTCAGAATCGTGGGGAATCTAAGCAGTGTAAATCAGGAGAAAATGTTCCCATTAGCTGGAGGATCAAAAACAAGACTAAATTAAGTCTTGGTAAATGCAGAAGAACCAGCAACAAACCTGAGAAACACGTTTTAGGCAGTGAGTAGTTAGGATCTGGATTGCGCTGCCTCATATTGTGGTGGAGGTGGGTTCAATTGTGGCCTTCAAACTGAATTGGATCGTTATGGTGAAAAAAAAATTGCACTGCTGCATGGAAAAGCTGGTAGAGTGGAACTAGTTGAATGGCTTGTGCAGAGAGCTAACACTGACATAATGGGCCAAATGGCTTATCTCTGCGTAGTAGTTATTCTACAAGCCTATGATCCTATCTTTAATCCTTGAGCAGTGGCGTAGCATTTGGGAAAATTTAATACCATTTCTTTGCTGTGTACCAAGTATTCTAATATATGAAATGTAGAATTCCATTTGGCTTTCAAAGGTGTTTTTCTAACGCAATTATATTGTTAACGATCAACATATCCACATCTTAACCTGCCGGAGAGTTATTTACTCTGGTTCAGTGCAATTCTGGAGGGTTTTTTTTAATGATCTCCTGCGCACAACTGCCTCCAGCTATAAAGCAGCCTTTACAACCCTATTTACAACAGTTCTATTCCTAATAAATTTAAATGTTCAAAGGAACGGGAAAAAAGAAGTCGCAATATTTTATTTAAAGTACAGATGATTTTCCTCTTGGTCTTTGATGCCTTGGAGAGTGACTCCAATTCCGGGAGACTTCCTGGTGGTTCTGGGGGATGAATGATCCAAAACAGAGGTAGTTTCCTTACGAAATGGCCTGGAGTCAAGTCCTAGATCCTCCTCCAGTGATGTCTAAGTGAACCTCTGAGGTGGTTGATTGAAAGATATTGGTATAAGGATATGTCATTATGTCAACTCCCTCTGAAGTGACCTATTTTGCCTAGTCTCTACCAACTGCCAGGGACCTAGAATTCTACAGGGGCCATGGTTAACTTATATCTGGGATGTCAATAGTTTAGCGGCACAATCACAGAACTAGCAGCCTCTATGGACACATGTTCCAACCCCACACCAGTGGAATTGGAATTTGATGTTTAACAAAAGAATTCTGGAATCTAAACGTTGTCTCAATCAGGGTGACCATGCTAACTGCCCCCTGCAATGCCCAAGAAAGGCACTCAGCTTAAGGGCAGTTGGGGATGGACCATTCTTGCTAATAATGCCTATGTCACATGGAAGAGTTAGAAATAAAAATGGAAAGAGCTGGGGATGGGTTTGCCTGTCGTTTGCTTGGAAACTCTCCTTCCTTTGGGTCGAGTGTGCCATATGTCATACTTCCTGTACATGTCCGTTACTCATAAGGAATTAATCTATTTGTACGTAGACATATATTATATAAAATCAAAAACATAAGAACTAGGAGAAGGAGTGGGCCATTCAGCCCCTTACACCTGCTCTGCCATTTGATTCAATCATGGCTGATCTCATCTCAGCCTCAACTCCATTTTCCTATCCACTCTCCATAATCATTCAACCCATTACTAATTACAAATCTGTCTATCTCCTCCTTAAATTTATTCAATGTTCTAGCAAACTACATATTCCAGGATAATGAATTCCACAGATTCAAAACCTGTTGAGAGAAGCAACTTCTCCTCATCTCTCTTTTAAATCTGCCATTCTTTTGTCTAAAACAATGACCTCTTGTTCTATTTTGCTTCACAAGAGATAACGTCCTCCCTACTTCTACTTCTGAATCTGATATATCTCAATTAGATGTCCTTTCATCTTTCTAAACTCTAGTCAGTGTAGGCCTAAACTGCTCAATCTCTCCTCTTAAGACAAACCTTCTATCTCTGGAATCAATCTAGCGAACCTCTTCTGAAGTGCCTTCAATGCAATTACATCTTCCTCAAGTAAGGGACCAAAATTGTATGCAATACTCCAGAGAAGAACTGAGACGAGGAGGAATTTGTCCAGCCAGAGGGTGGTGAATCTGTGGAACTCATCGCCACAGAGGGCTGTCGAGGCCAAGTCATTGAGTGTATTTAAGACAGTGATAGATAGGTTCTTGATTAGTAATGGGATCAATGGTTTACAGGGAGAATGGGTTTGAGAAACATACCAACCACGGTCGAAAGGTGGAGCAGACACGATGGGCCAAATGGCCTAATTTTTCTCTGGTATCGTATGGCCTCACCGATGCTTTCTACAATTGCGACAATACTTCTCAACTTTTATACACACTCCTACGTTTATGCACACAGACAAACACATATTTATACAGACGTACATGGACATAAATATCACCCTCTCACTTCTTTTGTTCTGCAGCTCCCTATGAGGACCGGGATGGGATAGGGAATTTGTTGCATGACTGATTACTGTCTGGGTATCACTGAAGTGTACCAATGCATCATGACAACAGGGTTGTGCATTTATCACAGGAAGAAATGAGCAGTACCTCTCACACAGATCCCCGATACACCTCCCCCTCCTGTTTACTCCCAGACAAAGATTTTCCCTGCATGTTGGTTAAACGGAGCTCAATTATAGGTCAGAGAATCCAGCAGAGCTTGCCTGTGCCTATGTCTTTATGCAGCGCTGTTAAAGATTCCATGGGGGCACACAAGGGATTAATCTTTGATTTAAAACAGAGCTGCTGATCATGTGGCTGCATGTTTGATATTTGTGTGTGTAGATGTGTGTGCACGCACATTATAATTAAATGAGGCTCGTACTAGTCCAGTAGGCTGCAGATGTTTTTCCAGGTCATAGTCCCAGCACCTCAAGATGACGAGAGATGTGCTAAAAAACTTCTAACATCAAATCAACAGGACAAAAACAGGCCATTCGGTCTATCTACTTCCAGCCAGTCTTCATGCCCCAGGTGAACCTCTTGGGAGTAGTTCTTCTCCTAAGCGTGATACACAGAAACATAACCATAACATGACATATTGAAGCATATAAGATTCTTAAGGGGCTTGACAAGGTAAATGCTGAAACATTTCCCTGCACAGGAGAGTCTGGGACCAAAGGGCATCATCTCAGAATAAAAAGAAGCAAATTTAAGATGAGGGTTGTGAGACTTTCGAACTCCTTGCCACTGAGAGCTGTGGGGGCAGAATCCTTATGTATACTTAAGGCTGAGAAAGATAGATTCTTGATCAGTCGGGGAAAAAAGGGTTAGAGGGAAGGTAGGCATGAGGAATGTTGGATCAGCCATGATCCTATTGAATGGCAGAGCAGGCTCAAGGGACCAAATGGCCTGCTCCTTTTCCTATTTCTTATGGCTCCAGGTCTGACTAGTTTACCATGTCCCTCTGTGCTTTCTCTCTTGTGTTTATCTGGCTTCTCTAAAATGCAGGTTTTCCCTCAATTACTCCATGTGTTCCACTCCTGACCTTGCTGGCTAAGTACATTTCTCCTGATCTCCTTATTGGAATTACTGGTCACCACTGTATATTTATATAATGCGGTGGCTGTGGTCTCCTGTTAAGTGGAAATGCATTTCGCTGAACTCACCATTAAATAGAACCTTATCAGATCACTGTTTAGCTCTGTCTTTTCCGGAGGAAAGAGTTGCTTTCTGTGTAGCGATTACCAATAGCTTGAACCATTTTGTCCTTGTGAATCTCGTTTGGGGAAGGTCAAAAATCACACAATGCCAGGTTATAGTCCAACAGGTTTATTTGATGACACTAGCTTTTGGAGTCTCACTCTTTCTTCAGGTGCCAGTGAGAGAGATACGTCAGACACAGGATTTAGAAGCCAAAAATCAAAGGGACATAGAAATGATATGGTGTTGAACAAACCTAAGATGGCTATTAAATCTTTAATCAGTTAGGAAGGATTAATATGCAAATTCCCGAATGTTTTTCAAGTCGCTGCCCTGCGATAACTAAAGGGGAGTCAATAGCCTAGTGATATTATTGCTAGACTGTTAATCCAGAGACCCACATATGTTCTAGGGACCTGAGTTCAAATCCTGGTCCCAGCAAATGGCAATGTAAATCTGGAATTAAGAGTTTAATGATGATCATGAATCAATTGTTGGAAAAGCCCATCTACTTCACTAATGTCCTTTAGGGAAGGAAGCTGTCATCCTTACCTAGTCTGGCCTACATTGTAACTCCAGGCCCACAGCAATGTGTTTGACCCTTAAATGCCCTCTGGACAATAAATGCTGGCCTAGCCAGTGCCACCCTCATCTTGTGAATGAATAAAAGAAAATATTTATAATGCTGTGGCCATGGTCTCCTTTCAAGTGGAAATGTTTTCTGTATGTTCAGCCGAACTCACCATTTTAAAGAGTCTTATTGGGTCACCTCTTAGCTCTGTCTTTTCCAAAGGAAAGAGTTGCATTCTGTACAGTCATTGCTGATAGTTCGAACCATTTGTTCCTTGTGATCGTCCTTAATGTTCTCCCCAATTTTAATAAAAATGCTAACAAGGTGTAGAGCTGGATGAACACAGCAGGCCAGGCAGCATCAGAGGAGCAGGAAAGCTGATGTTTCGGCTCTGGACCCTTCTTCAGAAATCTGAAAATGATTTCCTGCTCCTCTGATGCTGCTTGGCCTGCTGTGTTCATCCAGCTCTACACCTTGTTACCTCAGATTCTCCAGCATTGGCAGTTCCTACTATCTCTTAATAAAAGCGATGTTGCCGTGACAATGTCAAAATCATGTTGATTTTAAAAAAAAACAATTCACTTTTGTTTCGGACACAGGGCAGTGGGAAGTCCCCTGGTGATGGACCCAAACAGCATCTGCCGGAAAACCAAGCGGTTGGCAGGGAAGCAGGCTGAACTGTGCCAAACTGAGCCGGAGATCGTGAGTGAGGTGGCGAAAGGAGCCAGGCTGGGAGTACGGGAATGCCAGTTCCAGTTCCGAAGCCGGAGGTGGAACTGTACCATCCACAACAAATACTTCCGAAAAATCCTGCAGCAAGGTATGAGCCGAATCAGATCATGGATCATTTTCTCAAGCGGGAGCGAGATGGGGCGGTCAAAGGGCACATTTGCTTTAAGCCTCGGATTTTAATCTAATCGCATAAACTGTTCTCTGAAGGGGTTATTGTTTTGGTGCTACCTATCACAGCAGCATGCTGAACTGCTTAATCCAGCACTGCATCAACCTCAAATCACACAGTAACAGATGCCCGGATTAACATTTGAAACCCAAATCTCCCTCCATCCTACCTATTCTGCACCCTGCCCCACCAGTGAATCAAACTTTGCCAAATGAGCCCTCATCAGTTTCCCAAAGGAATAATTCCCTGGGGTTTCCATGTGAGCCATTAGACAATTTCCAGGGCATGGAATTGCCAAGGATCTGGGCAAACAGTTACAAGCTTCCTGTAGGACTGTTGATGGGCATTGACGAATGTGCTGGGATACCAAGTCGGTAATCAGGTGTGAAGCCGGAATGAGTTGGTCTGTAAAGTCACCGGCTGGTGAGGAACCAGAACAGAAGGGATGCAAACATCAGGTTACATCTCTGGTCTGTAGCAATTTTGTTTTATTCATTCACAGAATGAGGGCATCACTGTCTAGGCCAGCATTTATTGCCCATCCCTAATTGCCCAGAGGGCAGTTGAGAGTCAACCACATTGCTGTGGGTCTGGAGTCACATGTAGGCCAGACCAGGTAAGGATGGCAGTTTCATTTCCTAAAGGACATTAGTGAACCTGATGGTTTTTTCTGACAATTGACAATGAGCTTATGGTCATCATTAGACTTTGCTATCTGCCTTGGTGGGATTTAAACCTGGGTCCCTAGAACATTTTCTGGGTCTCTGGATTAACAGTCCAGCGATAATACCACTGGGCCATCACCTCCCCCTAAACGGGACCTCAGCCATAAGGAGGTCTGTCAGCCATCTTCATAATCCCGCTTTTGAGGGTGGAAAGGAAGGTTTCATAGTTCTCCCACCTGGTTCTCCCACTATGCTATTTCACACTGCGGGGCCCTATACTACATCACCCAAGCAGCTTTTCATGCCTAGATGAGTGCAACTCCCAACAACTTTCAAGAAATCCAATACTGTTCAGGACAAAGCATCCCAGCTTGATTGACACCGTACCCACCCCCTACAATATCCACTCCCTCCACCACCGATGCTCAGTAGCAGCAGTGTGTACTGTCTACAAGATGCACTGCAGAAATTCACCAAGGCTCCTCAGACAGCACCTTCCAAACCCACAACTACTTCCATCTAGAAGGACAAGGGCAACAGATACATGGGAACACCACCCCCTGCAAGTTCCCCTCCAAGCCACTCACCATCCTGACTTGGAAATGTATCACCATTGCATCAGCGTCATTGGGTCTAAATCCTGGAACCCCTTCACTGTGGGTGTCTCTACAGCACAAGGACTGCAGCCTTTCAAGAAGTTAACTCACTGCTACTATGTCAAGGGCAATAAATCCTGATCTGGCTAGCAATACCCACATCCCATGAATGGATGATGAGAAAAGACATGGACTTGACATTAGTGCCAGTATCACTCAGTATAAGAAATAAGAGCAGGAGTAGGGAGATTTGGCCTCTTGAGCCTGTTTCTTTGCCATTCAACAAGATCTTGATTGAATTTTTACCTCACCTGTACCTTCCCACACCATTCCCAAACTCCATAACTCCCATTGTATCCCCAAATCTCTCAGACTCTATCTTGAATTTACTTAACATCTGAGCCTCTGTAACCCACTTAGTTAGAAAATTCCGTGCGGTCACACGCTTTTGAATGAAGAAATTTCTCCTTATCCTGGAGCTAAATGGCCAATCCTTTAATCTGAGACTATGACACTGTTTTTTAGACTCACCCACCCCAGATATGGAAACCTCCTCCTAGTGTTTACTCTGTTCAATCCCTTTAAATAAACTGGAAGTTTTAATCAAATCATGTCTTGTTCTCCTAAGCCCAGGGAATAGCATTAGGCTGGTTGGCAAAAATGAAAGCACATGGGATTAGAGATAAAGTACTGGTGTAGATTAAGCATTGGCTGACAGACAAAAAGCAAAGTTGGAGTAAATGGGTCATTCCCATGCTTTGATTAATTGGGTACTGCAGGGATCAGGACTTGGACATCAGCTGTTCCCAATATATATCAATGACTTGAATGAGGGGCCCAAATGTAATATTTCCAAATTTGTGGATGATAAAAAATCTGAGCGAGAATGTGTGTACTGAGGAAGATGTAAATTGCCTTCAGGGGGATTTAGACAGGCTTAGTGAGTGGACAAAAACATGGCAGATGGAATATAATATGGAAAAATGTGAAGTTATGCACTTTAGTAAGAGGAACAGATGTGCAAATTATTTCTTAACTGGTAAGAGGTTGGAAAGTCTAGATGTTCGGAGAAGCCTAGGTGTGTTTGTCAGTAAGACACTCAATTTTAATTTGCATGTTCGGAAAGCTATTAGAAAGGCTAATGGAGTGGTGATCCTTATTGCAAGAAGATTTAAGTACAGGAATAGTGAAATCTTGCTTTAATTGTTCAGAAGTTTGGTTAGACCGCATGTGGATTATTGTGTTCAGTCTGTGTGTCTTTATCTCAGGAAGGATATTACTGCCAGAATGGGAATGCAGTGAATACTCACCAGATTGTTGCTGGGAAAGCAGGACTGTCCTATGAAGAGAGTTTAGGTAAACTTGCCCTATATCCTCAGAGTTTCGAAGGATGAGAGGTGATCTCACTGAAACTTTCAAAATATTTAATGGGATAGACAGGATAAATGCAGGTAAGATGTTTCCACTGGTTGGGAAGTCTACAATTAGAGGGCTGAAACTAAAAATAAGGGGATGCCATTTATGATTGAGGAATTGTTTTGATCAGAGGGTTATGTGAACCTTTGGAATTCTGAACCTCAGAGGGCTGTGGAAGCTTGGTCTTTTGAGTGTATTTAAAGCAGAAATTGATAATTTTTTGTTTACCAATGGCCTAAGGGCAATAGGGCTAATGCGGTTAAAGGCATTAAAGTCAAGGAAGGATTCTGAGGAAGGGTCACTCAACCCAAAGCAATAACACTGATTTCTCTCCACAGACGCCACCAGACCTGCTGAGCTTTTCCAGCAATTTCTGTTTTTGTTTCTGATTGCAGCATCTACAGTTCTTTCGGTTTTTAAAGGCTTGTGTTCGATCAGCCTTGATTATGTTGAATAGTGGGGTAGGATCAACAGGCTGAATGGCTTATTCTTGTTCCTGTGTTTCTATGATTCCAGTGATATTACTATTGGATAGACCAGATCCCAGAATGAAATCTGGCTTGATAATTTTTGTTTTTTGTTTCATTTGAAATACTATACTTCCACTGGGACATAAGCACCTAAGGCTGACAATTTGTTTTAACAACAAAACAGAAGTTTATTACATAAAAGAAATAAAAATGGGAATGACATGATACAAACCAGGCATCTAAATATCACACAGTTTGAAAAAGTTCAAAATAGAAAACAAAGAAACAAAATCCCATCTTCTCTCCAACATCATCAGTGGTATAGCAAAAGTATAGAGAGATTTTCATTTCCTATCAAATCTGTAACTCTGCCTTAACTGCTTCTTCTTAGTTCCCATCCTGTGAATGTGAAGTCATTTTCCTGGAATGCTCACACAATGGGGAGCTCAGACTTTCTCAGTCTTCTAATAATCTACAACATTCTAACCAAACACTTCTGGTCTGGACATTTTCACAAACTGAAACCCTTACATAGGGTTAAATTATTCCCTTAACTGCTCTGAACAACCTCCTTTTCTAGGAGAAACTATAATTGCATATACATTCAGTCAGGTCTCCTTTCAACTGCCCAAAATATTTTTAACTAAATTAAATAAAAATCTTGGAGAAAATCAGCAGGGCTAATAGCATCTGTGGAGAGAAGACAGAGTTAATGTTTTGAGCCCAGTGACCTTTCTTCGGTTGTCCACAACTCCATGACATAATTACAGTGTAATATGTTTCCATAGTTAATTCTTACTTATAAACCCAGACAAAGTTATTTAGTCAGGATTTCCTTCCTTGGAGGACATTAGTGAAGCAGGTGGTATTTTTTTAAAGATAATTGATAGTGGCTATATGGATGTCAATAGGCTGGACTTTATCAGCTGGAATTAAAAGCTAATCTAGCAGCAACCATGTAATAATTGTCAAAAAACCCTATCAAGGGAAGGAATTTTGTTTTATTCTTTCATTAAATCTGAGGGGATCATTTGCTAGACAAGATTTATTGTCCATCCCGAATTGACCAGATGGCAGTTAAGAGTCAACCATGTCACATGGAGACCAGGCCAGGTAAGGAAGACAGAATTTCTTTCCTAAACAGCATCAGTAATATTTTATAAACATCACTAATAGATGTTTAAAGAAAAAAATCCAGATCTTATTGAATTCAAATTTCACAATCTGCCACGGTGCAATGTGAATGCTGGTCCTCAGGACCTTACAGATGGTCTTTGTATCACTAATCTAGTAACAATACTGACACACCATTGCCTCATGTGCTACCCTTACTCACTCTGGCCTCTGTGAGATTCCAGATCCAAAGCAATGTCGTTGAAATTTGACCATCTGAAATAATTGAGCAAACCACTCAGTTCAAGGGGCAATTAGGAATGGGCAACAAAGATTGAGCTCACCAGTGATGTTGATACTCGAGGAAAGAATACCAAAAAAGTACTACTCCTGTTGAAATGGTTATTGGAGCTACAATGGCAATATTTGACAAACAGGATGGTGTTGACCCAATAGCCTGTCCAATGTGATTAATACTGATGGAAGCACTTGTATTGGTCAATTGGCACTTGAATCTTTATGAAAACCTTTTTTCATTCACTCATAGGATGTGAGCATTGCTGGCTGGGCCAGCAATTTTTAGCACAACTCTGGTTACCGTTGAGAAGGTGGTGGTGAGCTGCCTTCTTAAACCACTGCAGTCCATGTAGCTATAGGTA